TCAGTGTAAGTTTCATAAAGAAAAACTTGTTTTGCTTGAAAGACATATTGGTTGGCAGTGCAAACTTACTTACTTTGACCTTTAACTCTACATTTTTCTGTTTTGCTGCATATGTTTCTGAAGGGGATTTGAAAGTCACTTACTTTTAAAAATCCAGAAATTGATGAACTTACAAAACATCTCACTCAATTTCTTTGAATTCATTAATCTCATGATCCTGTCAGGTATTCTTTGTTTTGAAATCAGTAAAACAAAAGGATAATTTAAATCATGATATTATTTGGAGACTTAATGGTAATTTTCAGGAGTCTCTGAAATTTTAGTTTAGTTTTTTTCCACAGTAATTTTTTTAGGGTCTTATTTAGGTCAGAGATGAGCCACCTTCATTATGATATACTCTTTTTAAAAAAGATTAAAGGGAAATTTATGTGCAAATCAGAAGTGTATAAACAGGAATATACTTGTATAACACTCGATTAAGATATAGAGCATTTCCATCAACCCCAGAAAGTTGCCTTAACCTCATCCAAGGAACCCTAACCCGTATAGTCACCGACCATTCTGATTTCTATCACCGTATATTAATTTTGCCAGTTTTTGAACTTCATATATTGGCCCTAATTTTCTTTTTACTATTGATTTGTGGCAGTTCTATATGCAATTGGATACAAATCCTTGGACAGATATTTGTAGTAAAAATATTTTCTCTCACTCTATGGTTTTCATTTTCTTAATAGTGCCTTTGGAAAAATAGAAGTTTTAAATTTTGCTTTTGTCCCCTTCATTTTTTTTTCTTTTATGGGTAATGCTTTATGTGTCTTCTCTAAGAAATATTTACCTACCCCCAAGATTAGAGAGGTATTCTCTTGTATTTTCCTCTAAGAGCTTTATAGTTTTAGGTTTTGTGTTAAGCCCTTTAATTTTGAATTAGGTTTTGTGTAAGGTGTAGGTAGGGAACCAGTTTCCTTTTCTTCCCATATATTTAATAATTGTTGTTCCATTTCCTTTCATGGGAAGACTTTCCTTTTTCCATAGTTGTTTTGGTGCCTTTGTAGAAGATCAAATGACTTTATATATCTGAATCTGTTTCTGAAATCACTCCTCTATTTTAATGATCTATTTGCCTATCCCTATGCTCTATGCCCAAAACACAGTGCGTTGATCACTGTAGCTTTATACTAACTCATGTAATTAGGAAGTGTAAATCCTCCAATTTCTTTAGTCTTTTTCAAAATTGTTTTGGCTACCTTAGACTCCTACATTTCTACACAGATTTTAGAATCAGCCTTTCAACTTCTACAAATAAGCCTGTTGCAATTTTTGATAAAGATTATGTTAAATTTATTAATCAATTTTGGAAGAATTCATATCTTAGAAATATTGGCTCTTTCTGTCATTAACATAATATATCTCTCTATTTACATAGGTCTTCAAAATGCTCTCAACAATATTTTGTGGTTTGCAGTGTGGAGGTTTCATATACACCTAATTAAATGTATCCCCAAATGTTTTATTATTTTATGCTATTATAAAGCATGCTGTTTTAAAATTTCATTTTCAAATTGTTTGCAGCTTGCATACAGAAATGGGATTGATCCTACAACTAATAAACTCATTTGTTAATTCTAGCAGCCTTTTGTAGATTGCTTGAGGTTTTCTGTGTAGATGCTCACGTTTCTGCAAATAACAGTTTTATTTATTTTTATTTAATCTATACTTTGTTTTTTATCACCTTCCTGTACTGGCTAGAACTTCAACTCTCACCACTTATATAGAAGAATGCAAGGTTGAGTAGAAGTGGTGAGAGTAGCCGTAATCATTTTAGAACATAAAAATGTTCAATATTTCATCCTGAAGTATCACATTAGCTTTACTTTTTAGCAGGTTGAGGAAGGTCTCCTACTCTGGTTTACTCAGAGTTTATATAATTAATGTCAGTTGAATTTTGTCAAATGCATTTTGCACATCTATAGGGTTGATAATATATTTTTCTTTTATTTCCTTTAATATGGTGAATTAATTAACTTTTAAATATTAAACTGACTAAAGTTATGATATGATATGCACTTCCTTACTAAATTGCTGGATTTGATTTCCTAAAAATTTTTTAAAGTAAAAAAAATTTCTTTAGTTTTATAACAGATGTGGATGTGTAATTTTCTTTCCTTGAAAAGTCTTTGTCAGGTATTGTCAGGAATTATGCTGTCAAATTTCCCTCTTCCTCTATGTCATAAAGGAATTTGTGTAAAACTGGCATTATTTCTTCCTGAAATGTTTGAGAGAATTCACCATCTCTCAATTTAATTGAATATTGAGAACTGAAATCAGAAATAAGAATTAAAGCTGTCTAAGCCTGGAGTTTTCTTCGTAAGAAGAGTTAAAGTACAAATTCAACTTTTTAATATTTCTTTTTTGAGACGGAGTCTCACCCTGTCGCCGGGCTGGAATGCAGCGGCATGATCTGGGCTCACTGCAGCCTCCACCTCCTTGGTTCAAGAGATTCTCATGACTCAGCCTCCTAAGTAGCTGGGACTACAGGTACACATCACCACACCCAGCTAATTTTTGTATTTATAGTAGAGATGGGTTTTCACCATGTTGGCCAGGATGATCTTAATCTCCTGACCTCATGATCTGCAAAGTGCTGGGATTACAGGCGTGAGCCATCATGCCCAACCACAAATTCAACTTTTAAAAACATAATGAACATTCAGACTACATGTTTTTTTCTTGTGTCTTTGTTTCAGTAATTTATATTTGTCAAAAAATTTGACAATTTCATCTAAGTTTTCAATTTTATTGGCATAAATTATGCATAATATTCCTCATCCTTTCAATGAATGTAGGCTCTATAATAATATTCTCTTTCATTTATAGTTTTTTCCTCTTTTTGATCCTGGAAGAAATTTCATTACTTTTTTCAGAGAGCCAAATGTTATCTTTATTAATTTTTGTTATTGTTTGTTTTTGTTCTGTTTCATTGATTTCTGCTCCTATATTTATTATATCCTTTCATCAACTTATTTGGACTCAATTTTCTTAACTTCTAGCTTCTTAAGATGAAACAGAGATAACAGACTTTATTATACCTTTGTTTTTTCTAATATAAATATGTAAAGCTATAACATTTCCCCTAAGTACTGCTTTAGTTACATACAACAATTTTGTTTTCAAAATCATTCAACTTAAGATGTTTTAAAATGTCTTCTTAACCTGAAAAATCCTTTTGTCTTTTTATGTTTCTGTTTTTGCATCTCTAATATCACAGGGCTATTAGTAAAGATCTCTAAGGTCTCTTTACAGTTATCATTTTCTGGTTATTCATTGGTTGAGTATATTGTTATAATTTTTAATTGATCATAATAAGCAGTTAGCCTTCAGAATTTTACATTTAGTGTATTTTTTTCACCACAAAGTAAATTATTAAAATATTTCTCAATGCTATTTTTAGTATCAAAATATTTGAATTTAGAAGATGCTACTCAGTAACTTTCTCTAGGAATATGAATTGCAATGTAAAAGTGAAACCATGTATTATAGCCATCAACGATGGGAGACAGAAACCTGAGTCATCTGAACATAGTAATATATTTGATGTTTATATCTTCAGAACAGGTATAAAATCAATGAATAAACATTCACAATAAAGAACAATGCTGAGAAAGAAAATAATCTGAAAATATAGAAATAAAATAACTTATCTAAATAGGACTGTGATATAATAAAAAAATTTGTCTGATCTTCATTCCCATTTCCAGGCACAGAGCTTCAAAAACTTGTGGAGTTTCCTGAGTGATAGGAAACTCTATGCTAATGAGGCAACTCTTGGCCTATCCCCTAGATAGTTTCAGGATAGGGCCAGGTCACCAGAAACCAACCACATGATTAGAAAGTTTGAGCTTTTAAGCTAGTTGGGGGATATGTGGGAAGGAAGTGGGGCTGGACATTGCATTCAATCACATGGTCAATGGTTTAATCAACCACGCCTATGAAATGAAACCCTGATAAATGCTCTGGACAGAAAAGCTCAGTAGAGCATCCTGGTTGGTGAAAACACTGACAAGGCAGGAGGCTGGCAGTCCCTAACTCCACTGGAGATAGCAAGGAAGGTCTGCATCCAGGACTCTCCCAGACCTTTCCTTATGGGCCTTTTCATTTGGCTGTTCCTGGCTTGTATCCTTTACAATAAAATTGTAATTGTAAGGATAGCACTTTTGAAGTTTTGTGAGTCATTCTAGCAAGTTATTGAATGTAGAGAGGGTAGTAGGAACCACTGAACTTATAACTGGCTGGTCAGAAGTGCTGGTGTCCCACAGCCCCATTCGTAGCTGGCATCTGAAGTAGAGCCAACCTTGAGGAAGACTGAGCCCTTTATTTGTGCAATTTGATGCTAACTCTGAGTGGGTTGCATCACAATTGTATTGTAGTACTCCAGCTTGGATTGTGGGGGTTGCAAAATAGGAACATGTATAAAGAAAAGATGAGTACTTGTGGCAGAGAACACCAGTCACAATCTTTATCCAGGCTTGTTTCTGATGTAACACTAGATTTTTTGTTGTTGCTTATTTCACTTAAGCGTGTGTCCACCCAGCTAAAAACTATATTTCTCTGCCTCCATTGAAATTTCGGCGAGCAAGATTTATTCAGAACTGTTACATATTCTCTTCTCCTCTTTTTATTTTGAAAGCTATTTGCTGTCTCTGCTGTGGCACTTACGTCTTAACAGCAGGTAACAATTCTTAGCTGTTTATGTTTTTCTTTCCCGAGAGTGGAATCTGAGATCCAAAACTTGACTCTTTTTAAAACATGTATCACACTACATAGGACTACTTAATACATTTTTCTGAAAGATTAATAAATTTTGCTGAAACCCCCAAGGATGTGTGGGGACCAGTGTATAATAGTAAGTCACAAGCCCTGGATTTGGTACAGGAAAGGTGTAGGCTAATATGCGCAGTCACTGTTTCCATAAACATTCGCACAGTGTGTGAAAGAGGCACCTGCAGGAAAAACTCCTCCATTAGGGCCATGGTCCACCGATAGTGCAGCTTCCAGGATTTGGCTGGGTGGCTGATGTCTGCTGCGTGGAGAATCAGGGACATGGTTTTGGCTCTGTCAATCCTGTCAAACCAAGAACATGCTTAATTATTCAGAACAAGGGAACCAATTACAGTCTTTTCTGAGGACAAGCCATGGAACTTTAACATTATAAAACAAACAAACAAACAAACAAAAACCTACCCTTCAGGCTGCTGCAAACTGTTTCTTATATTTTTAATTTGCTGGAAGTGACCTGACATATCTGTAGATAAAACCATTTCAATCACTAGGTTCCGAAGATCCCTGTAGGGTCACCAAAAAGAGAAAGGTTCATTCAGCTCTTTATTGTTCTTAAGTGGAACACTGTCATAAATATCAATCTCCATGTTTTATTGTTCTTAATGGATATGAACACAAAAGACGCTACTTTTAAATGTGAAAGTCTACACAACAGTTTGACATTATTTTATGTTTTAACTGTCATGGATCTAAGAAGTTACCAGCAGTGTGAATTGCAATGGTGTTCACACCTGCCTAAAGAGCTGGTGCTCTACCTTCTCACTCCCACAACTCTCCTGCACTCATAATTCCTAAATATTATAATTTTTAATCTGAATGGAACTTTAGCCATTTTAAAGAAAAACTATTCCAAATACAGAATTATATATTATTTGCATCATTTGAGGAAAAAAATTAGCCCAGTGGGGCCTGAGACTATTCTAAATCCATATGGTCAATGAAACTAAAAGGCTTGATGTCTCAGAGAAGAGATAGGGGTAAGAAGGGCATGAGTTTTCAAGACCCTCTTGGATCCTTCTTTATTTTGCATTTTTTAACAAAACTACTACTATTAATGAAATCAGTGCTATTCCTTCAATAAATTATCAGTGAGGCACTGAACTGTAAGATTAAATGTCTTCATATAATATATAAAGATCTTAGAATACTTTAGTAACTAGTTGCTTTCTATGTGTATAGAGACATTTAATCTTCCTAACAACCCCTGAGGGAGTATTAATATTTCCCACCAGAGGAGACTGAGTCATCTAGTCACACAGCTAGTACATGGCACAGATAAGATTCAACCCAAGAGTTCCTACTTCCGGAGCAGACACGTAGACCACTCCACTGTTCTAACCTTCCATCATAAGAACCCCAAAGAAACCAAGATGCTAAAGTGGGTAGTGATCATCTGTTCAAGCTTTTGGGATCTGACCCTACATAACATAGAAAGAACCATTGGTATTACTGACAGTTTTAAACAAGACACTGTAAATACAATAACCATATCACAAAGCCTCACACTTAGTAGAAAATAAGGCACCCCAGCAAATGCTTGCATGTTCCACAATTCCTTGTTTGCTCTGTACAGATAAGTTTAAAAAAAATAACTTGTACTGGAAAACATATTTCATTTTCATTGTGTGGTGTGGCCCGTAGAATAAGCTGAACCAAAAATGTGACGGAAACTTGAATTATGATCTTGCACAAAGATATTTTACCTAAAGATGATATAATCTATTTGATTATTTGATTTTTTAAAAAACTACATATTGATGGTTCTTGCTGAAAATCATGGGCACTCAAAATTTCTATTGAATTTTTAGATGGAAATCATGAGAATCAATACTCTGCTTACTGTTCGTAATATTGGATAGCTTGCTTACTTTTACTTTTATTTAAGTAGTAAGGGAAAGGAAGCTATTAAAGGTAGTGAATAAAATTATTCTTAATTGTATTGTTTTCTCTCAAAATATGACAAGACTCACATTAGAAAAGCAACTGAACAAAAACGTTCATGTTATCTAAGGATAATGAGACTAGAGTTCAAGGAAGTCTATAGAATCTAATAAGTATATTGTGGTTTACACATAAATGATAGATGTTATCAATAATCAACTAATAATATGCTAATGAATTAGGCAAAATAACAAAACGTTAATTTATACATTTTTTTGTGAAAACATTTAAATTAAGGCATTTATTTTTACTAAAGGTACTTTAAGAAATAAACAGATTTGCAAACAGAAAACATGGGTCTTTAAGAAGATATCCACACTTTAATTCTTAGTAAATGTTATTAAAGCTGTAGTAGCAAATAAATATTTTATGGATTTTTGGAAAGTGTTGGATCTATTATATTATACAATTTTAATAATATGTATACTATTTGTTAAAACAATTCTATAAAAACATTCCATTAAAATGACTCTGAAGTTACCAAACAGAAATTTAAAGAAAATTAGTCATAAACTATTAGAATAAAATATTTAAAATGATAAATAACAAAATATAATAGGAAATAAAATAACACTGAAATAGCAACAAAGTCCAGTTTGTAGAAAAAAGGTTTATTTCTTTGAATAGCAACAAAAATTAATATCATGAAAATTATCTCTGGGAATGGTAATCACTGATTAAGAAAATAAACTAATACCCTACATGTAAATAATCTCTCTCAGGCTTTAGGAAATATCTCAGAACTTGTCTGCTTCTTCCTACCTTTGCCCATCTAATTTCTACATAGCCCAACAGAGGTCTCTTTAAAATTCTTTTACAATCAGATCCTGACATTTCCAGACTGTAAATCCTCTTGGGCTACTATTTCCTGCAGAATACAGTTAGGTTTGAACTGTGTGGGACCACTTATACACATTTTTTTCCCCTATGTCACACCTGAGAAGCAAAACCAACTCCTCCTCTTCCTTTCTCCTCCTCAGCCCACTCAATATAAGACAGACGATGAAGGCCTTTTTGATGACCCACTTCCACTTAATAAACAGTAAATATATTTTCCCTTCCTTATGATTTTTTAATAACATTTCCTTCTCTCTAGTTACTTTACTGTAATAATATTGTATATAATACACATAACATACAAATTATGTCTTTATCAACTTTTATATTATTGGTAAGCCTTCCTATCAAGAGTGGGTTATTAATTGTTAAGTTTTTGAAGTGTCAAAAGGTATACATGGGTTTTCAGTTCAATGGAGGTGCCCCTAACCTCTGTATTGTTCAAGTGTCAACTGTAAAATGAAAGGCCTCAACTCTGTCTTCAAAAGAAAGTGCCGTCTTCCTGCTACCTGATAGCATTTTCTAGAGTTGCAAAAATGAGCCCATATTTCTAGAACTGGCGTTGAAAAACCAGGAAACTTTGAAAATTTGAAAACGTACTCAGAGGATATTTAAGCTTATTTTAAACTCTGATTTTTATCTTTTATGTTTTTTAATGTTTTTATTGTCACTTTCCTTTTGGATATTTCTTTGTAGCTTGATTTAAGAAACAAGAATGAAAGCAAAAACCTTTGATATTTACATTCAAATGGAAACATTTTATAGTCAATTAACTGGCTTTTAATAAGCTTTTTGTTAAATATAAATAAAAGGCCTTTTCTTTTCTTGGTATAAGTGAGTCCCATAGAATATTAGGGACATATACTAAGAAGAGTCTGTGATTAACAAAGTTCATATTTAATTGATTGTCCTTTACTTTTATTTGCAAAGTCCAGCAACCGTATTGCCAATTGAAGGAGATGATAATGACCAAAGGATCAAGAAAAAGAGAAGAAAGGCCATACAGAAGGATGGGGGTATATCTTGTCATTTTTCCATGCATAACAACAAGTATCAACATACCATGTAATTGTTTTCAAACAAATAGATACTTCGGAGAAATATGTAAGATTTCCTCTTCAATTGGGTCATTTTAGTATATTTGAGATTTTTTCCCAGATGTTTACTTTGTTTTTAAAAAACTCTTAACTCCACATATTTTAAAAATATATATATGAAAGAATAAATATAATGCTAAAATTTTGAATTTATGTAACACCCCACATTGATAAAAATTGAGCACAGCTCTATTCCAGAGAGTGTATAATTACGAATGAAAAAGTATTTGTTGTGTTGTATAGTCTTATTCAGGCATATGGATGTTGAGTTGACCTGAAAATACTTGAGCTCCCTCTAATAGAGTCTGGCTCCAGAACAAAGTCCCTAAGTACTAATCCTTCTCAGAGTCATCCAGTCAACAGTAATTAAGTTTGTAATACAGGGAAGGCATCGACTTTCATCTGTTTTCTTAACTTTACATCACATAATTTATCCCTTTCCTGAAATTAAATTTCCTCTAGGTTTTCTCTGAAACTTACCTCCAGTCATCTTTGGATAAATTTATCAAGATATTCATTTCCTCTTCTTGCATAAGTCGATAAGCTGCACTCACATGGTGATTCTCAAGGACAGAGCGATCATTATACAAAATGGCAACATCTGACCTAAGAATTAAAAACAAAATGCCCAGTAGAGAAATTCTTTAGACATCATGAATGTCTAATAAGACATACTCAAGTATCAAGAAGTAAATTAATTTTTTATTTTTTATTGTATGATATTTTTAAATTTTATATAAACTCTATTTATTAAAGAAGTTAGTTTTAGGCTCATAGCAAAATTAAAGATGGTACAAAATTTCCCATATATTTTCTTCTTCCACACATGCAGAACCTCCCCATTGTCAACATCCCCCACAAGAGTGGTATTTTTGTTACAACTGATGAACCTACACAGACATATCATTATCATCTGATGTCCACAGTTTACATTAGGGTTCACTCTTGGTGTTGTACATTCTATGAATTTAGACTCATAGAATAATGACATGTATCTACTATTATAGTCCCATACAGAGTAGTTTCTCTGCCTGAAAATCCCTCTGTGCTCTACTTCTTCATCCCTTTCTCTCCCTTAACCCTTGTAACCACTTATTTTTTTCACTGTCTCCATAGTTTTGCCTTCTTCAAAATGTTATGTAGCTGGACTCACATAGTATGTTGCTGATATGGTTTGGCTCTGTGTCCTCCCCCAAATTTTATTTTGAATTGTAATCTCCAATGTTAGGGGAGGGACCTGATGGGAGAGGATTGGATCATGGGGGCAGACTTCCCCCTTACTGTTCTTGTGACAGTGAGTGAGTTCTCATGAGAACTAGTTGTTTAAAAGTGTGTAGCACTTCCCCCTTTGCTCACTTTCCTGCCACCATGTGATGATGTGCTTGCTTCCTCTTCACCCTTCCACCATGATTGTAAGTTTCATGAGGCCTCCCAGCCATGCCTCATGTATGGCCTGTGGAACTGTGGGTCAATAAAATCTCTTTTCTTTATAAGTTATCAGGTCTCAGGTAGTTCTTTATAGCAGTGTGAGAATGGATTAATATAGAAAATTGATACTGAGAGTGGGGTATTGCTATAAAGATAAAAATGTGGAAGCAACCTTGGAACTGGGTAATGAGCAGAGGTTGGAACAGTTTGGAGGGCTCAGAAGAAGAGAGGAAGATGTGGGAAAGTTTGGAACTTCATAGAGATTTGTTGAATGTTGTGACCAAAATACTGATAGTGATATGGACAGTGAAGTCTAGGTTGAGGAGGTCTTATATAGAGATAAGGAACTTATTGAGAACTGGAGTAAAGGTCACTCTTGCTATGCTTTAGCAAAAAGACTGACGCATTGTGCCCCTGCTCTAGAAATCTGTGGAACTTTGAACTTGAGAGAGATGATTTAAAGCATCTGGTGGAAGCAATGTCTAGGCAGCAAATTTGTTCAAGATGTGGCCTGGCTGCTTCTAAAGCCTATGCTCATTTGTATAAAGAACAAAATGACCTGAAACTGGAACTTCTTAAATGGCACATCTTAAATGGCAACACGAGAGAGAGAGTGCAGGGGGAATACTGCCACTTTTAAACCACCAGGTCTCATGAGAACTCCCTCATTATCATGAGAACAGCATGGAGGTAGCTGTCCTCATGATCCAATTACCTCCCACCAGGACGATGCCTCAAAACATACGGATTGCAATCTGAGATGAGATTTGGTGGGGACACAGAGCCAAACCATATCAGCCACTGTCCTTTAGACCCAAGAATGGTAAATCGATTGACAGCTTGCACTGTGCACCTGGAAAAGCCACTGGCAGTTAACACCAGCCAGTGAAAGCAGCCATGGAGGCTGTATCCTGCAAAGCCACAGAGGTGGAGTGCCCAAGGCCTGTAGGAGCATACCTCTTACATCAGCATACCCTGGATGTGAGACATGGAGTCAAAAAATATTATTTGGAAGCTTTAAGATTAAATAACTGCCCTGCTGGGATTCGGACTTGCATGGGGCCTATAGTCCCTTTGTTTGGGCCAATTTCTCCCTTTTGAAATAGGAGCATTTACCCAATGTCTGTACCCCCATTGTATCTTGGAAGTAACTAACTTATTTTTTATTTTACAGGCTTATAGGCAGAAAAGACTTGTCTCAAATGAGACTTTGGAGTTGGACTTTTGAGTTAATGCTGAAATGAGTTAAGACTTTGGGAGACTGTTGGGAAGGCATGATTGGTTTTGAAATATGAGAAGGATATGAGATTCAGGAGGGGTCAGAAGTGGAATAAAGTATTAGTCTGTTTTCATGCTGCTGATAAAGACATACCTGAGACTGGGCAATTTACAAAAGAAAGAAGTTTATTGGACTTACAGTTCCACATGGCTGGAGAGGTTTCACAATCATGGTGGGAGGTGAAAGCAAGTCTGACATGGTGGTGGCAAGAGAGAGAATGAGAACCAAGCAAAACAGGTTTCCCCTTATCAAGCCATCAGATCTCATAAGACTTATTCACTACCACAAGAAGGGTATGGGGGAAACGCCTTCCATAATTCAATTATCTCCCACCGGGTCCCTCCCACAGCACATGAGAATTATGAGATTACAATTCAACATGAGATTTGGATGTGAGACACAGAGTCAAACCGTATTATGAGCCAAATGTTGATTACAATTCACCATGAGATTTGGGAAGGGGTCACAGAGGCAAACATATCAAATAATATGTTTGGCTCTGTGTCCCCAGCGCAAATATCATGTTAAATTTTAATCCCCACTATTGGTAGAGGGACCTGGTAGAAGGTGATTGGATCATGGGAGTGGATATCCCCCTTGTTGTTCTCATGATAGTGAGTTCTCATGAGATCTGGTTGCTGAGAAGTGTGTAGCACTTCCCCCTTCACTCCTTCTCCTGCTACCATGTGAAAACATGTTTGCTTCCCCTTCATCCTTCTGCCATAATTGTGAGTTTCCTGAGGCCTCCCAGCCTCCCCAGCTATGACTTCTGTATGGCATGTGGAACTATGAGTCTTGAATCTCTTTTCTTTATATGTTATCCAGTCTCTGGTAGCTTTTTATAACAGTGTGAGAACAAACTAATACAACCTTCCTCTCAAATTGGTTCCTTTCACTTAGTAATATGCATTCAAGTTTTCTTCATGTCTTTTCACAGATTGATAGCTAACTTCCTTATAGCAACAATTTTTTCTTGTCTGCATATACCACAGTTTATTTATCCAATCACCTACTGAAGGACCCCTTGCTTGCTTCCAAGTTTTGGCAATTGTGAATAAAGCTGCTGTTAAGTATCTGTGTGCAGGTTTTTGTGTGAATGTGTTTTTAATTTTTTTGAGTAAATACCAAGGAGTGCAATTCATGGATCATATGGCAAGAGTAGTTTCAATTTTGTAGTAGATTGCTAAACCGTCTTCCAAAGTGGCTATACCATTTTTCATGCTTACCAGCAATGAATGAGAGTTTCTGCTGCTCCATTCTCACCAGCATTTGGTGGTGTTAGTGTTCAGGATTTTGACCATTCTAATAGATGTGTATTGTCTGTTGATCTATTTGGGATCTCATTGTTTCAATTTGGATTTCTCTGATGACATGATATGGAATATCTTTTAATATGCTTATTTGCCATTTGTGTATCTTCTTTACTGAAGTGTCTGATAAAGTTTTTGGCCCATTTTTAAATTTGGTTGATAGTTTTCTTGTTGTTAAGTTTTAAGCATTCTTTGTATATTTTCAGTAATAGTCCTTCATCAGGTGTTCTTTGCAAATACTTTCGTCCAGTCTGTGGCTTGTCTTTTTAGTTAATTGATAGTGTCTTTGGTAGAGCATGACTTTTTAATTTTAATGAAATCCAACTTATCAATTAATCCTTTCATATGTTGTGCATTTGATATTATATTTAAAAAGTCATCACTAAATCCAAAGTCATCTAGATTTTTCCATGTAATCTTCTAAGAATTTTATAGTTTTTTGTTTTAAATTTAGGTCTGTGATCCATTTTGAGTTAATTTTCTACAGGGTGGAAGGCCTGTGTCTTAGTGTGTTTTATGCTGATGTGTCAGAATACCTGAGTCTGGGTAATTTATTTAAAAAAAAGAAATTTATTTCTTACAGTTGTTAACTGGAAAGTCAAAGATCAACATGCCATTATCTTGTGAGGGCCTTCTTGCTGTATCACCAAATGGTAGAAAGCGTCACATAGCAGAGGGGCCGAGAGTGTAAGAGAGCAAACCATCTCTGTCAAGCCCCATTTTATAATGGCATTAATCTATTTATGATGGCAGAATACTGATGACCTCAATACCTCCCATTAGGCCTGACCTCCCAACCCTGTTACACTGGGAGTTAAGTTTGAAACATATGAATTCTGGGGAACACATTCAAACCATAGCAGTCTGTCTAGATTCTTTTTTTCTTTTTCCTTTTGCATGTGGATGTCCAATTGTTTTAGCACCATTTATTGAAAATATTATTTTTGCTTCATTGTACTGCTTTTACTCCTTTGTCAAATATCAGTTGACCATATTTTTTGTAGATTCATTACTGGACTCTCTATTCTGTTTTCGTTGATCTATTTTTCTGTCCTTTTACAAATACTACACTGTTTTGATTACTGTGGTTTTGTAGCAAGTCTTAAAGGTAGGTAGTGTAAGTCCTCCAACTTTGTGCTTCTCCTTTAAAATTGTGTTAGCTATTCTGAGTCTTTTATCTCTCCATACAAACTTTAGAATCACTTTGTCAGTATCATAAAATAACTTGCTGATATTTTCATTGGGATTGCATTAAATCTATAGATGAAGTTGGGAAGAGCTGACATCTTGACAATTTTGGGTTTATCCATGAACATGAAATATCTGTCCATGTATTATTTCACTCATCAGAGTTTTATAGTTTTTCCTATAAAGATCTTGTGTATGTTTTGTTCCATTTACACCAAAATACTTAAATTTAGGTGGTGCTAATGCAAATGGCATTTGTGTTTTCAATTTCAAATTACATTTGTTTATTGCTGGTATATATGAAAGCAACTCATATATACCTTGGATCCTGCAACCCTGCTATAATCACTTATTAGTTCCAGGAGTTTTTTGTTCAATTCTTTCAGATTTCCTATACAGAC